CCTTGTACTCTCTGATTGCCCTGGGCTGGGGGGGGGGGGGGGGGCCCCGGGTTGAGGGGAGAAACAACCAGGAAGGGGCTGGAATTTAATAACGAAGCACCCTTTGAAATGGCCGGAAGGTCCCTACTCTGAGCTGTCTGCAGTGGTTTTCACTGCAAGCTTCACAGTAATACTGTCTGTTTTTATTTATACTACATTTCCTGTTTACAAAGCCCTGTTGCCACATGCTCTCATCTGTTCGCTGCTTGCCTCGCTTCACTTCTCTGGGCAGTTCTCTGAAAGGGCAGGATTCTCATCTCCATTTTATAGATGAAGCAAATAAGGTGCAGAGTGGGGAGGTGACTTCCTTATGGTCAACCAGCAGAGAGGCTAATAGAACCCAGCTCTTCTGAGTCCATGTTCAGGGCTTTCCTCTAGCACATGCTGCTGCAGGCCAGCAGTTAATAGAATTGTTTCCAGAAGTAGTTAAGAGAGCCAGATAAAAAACACATTTTGAATTGGCCAAGAGGGATTTGAAAAACCAACACACAGGGGGCACCTGGGTGGCTCAGTCAGTTAAGTGTTCGACTTTAGGTTTCGGCTCAGGTCATGATCTCACCGCCCGTGGGATGGAACGCCTCATGTGGCTCCCGCTGACAGTGTGGAGCCTGCTTGGGATTCTCTCTCTCCCTCTCTGTCTCTGCTCCTCCCCTGCTCACTCTCCCTGTCTCTCTCAAAATAAATCAATAAACTTAAAAAAAAAAACTAACACACGTCAAGTCCTGGCTTTTCTCCTAATGTGGCTGCTTGTCCTTTGTCCTCTGTTCCTTCAGTCTTCGTGTTTCTCTGACCGTCCTCACTCTCCTGTTCAGAAATCAAGCAGAGGACTGGTTCGTTCATTCATTCATTCATTCATTCACTCGCTGTTAGGTACTGAATTGCCTTCACCTCCTCAAATTCGTATATTGAAGTCCTACCCCCAGTATGTCAGAATGTGACTGTATGTATGTATTTAATGTTTATTTATTTATTTTGAGAGAGAGCAAGCAAGCATGAGTGGGGGAAAGGCAGAGAGAGAGAGAGAGAGAGAGGGAGAGAGAGAGAATCCCAAGCAGTCTCTACTTTGTCAGCACAGAGTCTGATGTAAGACTTAATCCCACAAACTGTGAGATCATGACCTGAACCAAAATTGAGAGTCGGATGCTTAACCGACTGAGCCACCCAGGAGACCCAGAATGTGACTGTGTTTTAGAGATAAGTCTTTTAAAGAGATAATTACGGGGCGCCTGGGTGGCTCAGTCAGTTGAGCGTCCGACTTCAGCTCAGGTCACGATCTCGCGGTCCGTGAGTTCGAGCCCCGCGTCGGGCTCTGGGCTGATGGCTCGGAGCCTGGAGCCTGTTTCCGATTCTGTGTCTCCCTCTCTCTCTGCCCCTCCCCCGTTCATGCTCTGTCTCTCTCTGTTCCAAAAATAAATAAATGTTAAAAAAGAAAGAAAAAAAAGAGATAATTAAGGTAAAAGGAAATCTCATGGGTGGGCCCCAGTCCTAAGCGACTGGTGTCCTTACTGGAAGAGATTAGTACACAGACGACACAGGCAGAGTGGCAACCTTGTAAGGATGCGGTGAGAAGGAGGCCGTCTGCAAGCCAAGGAGAGAGGCCTCAGGAGAAATCAACCCTGCCAGCACCTTGGTGTTGGACTTCCAGAACTCTGAGAAAGAAATTTCTGTTGTTTAAGCCCCGCGGTCTGGTATTTTGTTGCAGTAGCCCCAGTAGAAGAAAACACTCGCTCCTTTATTCACACTTCCCTGTACATCCCCTCGTGTAGGTCATGCCTCGCTGTTGCTGAGCAAGGCTTCCTGGTTACTCTCTGTAAAACTGCAACCTGTTTCCACTATCTGGGAATCCACATATTTGCTTGTTAAGTGTTTATTGCCATCCACTCCCCACACCAAGATATGCATGCAACAGGGGCCAGGGTTTTTTTTTGTTGTTGTTCATTACTGCATCCACAGTGTCTACGTCACAGTAAGTGCTCAGTAAGTATGTGTGTGTGTGTGTGTGTGTGTGTGTGTGTGTGTGTGTGTGTGCGTATAATATATATATTATATATATATATATATATATTTTTTTTTTTTTTTTTTTTTGAGAGAGAGAGAGACAGAGTACAAGCAGGGGAGGGGGAGAGGAAGAGGAAGACATAGAATCCAAAGCAGGCTCCAGGCTCCAAGTTGTCAGCACAGAGCCTGATGAGGGGCTTGAACTCATGGACTGTGAGATCATGCCTGAGCCAAAGTCAGACTGAAGCACCCAGGCGCCCTCAGTAAGTGTATCTTGAATGAATGAGGTCATGCCTGTACTCAACCCATCAGCAGTTTCTGAGCTATGACTTAACACCAGGCCCTGTGCCAGGAGCTGAGATATACCTGGGGACCCAAGTAGTCTATCCCCATACTGGCCTGAGCATCCCTACCAGATGCTCGGGATCATTTCAGAATCACTCCTGCACCCTCCACGTTCATCCCAGGCTTGCTCTG